TGAAATCTCAGATCTCACAGGCCACTGACGGGAATGCCTGCAGTACAACAGAAGCTCTGCCAAAGAGGGATGACACTAGAAACCAGAAGTCCAAGCTAGGAGTAAGGAATGCTCTTTGACCATCCTTGCTTGTGCCTCATTTCTCAATGCTGTGCTAAGTTAAAACACCGTAAAAGACAGAACTCTGTGTTTGATGCTTCTTGATAAAACCTCCACAAGCTGCTGCACCTCGGCGAGTTTTACAATTAGGTCTGATATGCAAAATGTAGCCTATGGTTAATGCAGGTGAACTTCTATGTGTTTTGCAGCATGCTGGCATTATGCAATTTAGACCTAGCAAGATGCAAGGAGCATAAGGGAATATAGCTCAAGGAAAGAATAACTAAAAAGAGAGCAAGAATGAGTAAACTTATGTTTATTACTCAACTAGTTAACTTTGAAGGGATTACACTTCCTCCCTCTTCCAGTTTTAAATCCACTGTTGAGACTGAAACAAGCAGATGCAACAGCCTATGATCTCTGCCTGCACTGCATTTCTTACCAATCACTGCTACTTCCACCACAATCCAAAAGCCTTCAGCGTAACTGGGGAGCTACACACTGCTAAAACACATCTAGGGTCATATCAGAAACCTGCACTGGCAGACTTCAGTGCATTGTGACAAGATCATGACAAGTTATGTGCACTTTCCAGAAATTAGTTTCCTGGTCAGCACAGTTAATTTCAGCCATTATAGGAAAGATTCAGCAACCTAAAGTGGTAAAGTTCAACCCACTAATTCGAGCATTATATAAAAGAGCTTTAAAATTGAAAGAGAGTTATTTCAAGATAAATTATTTCTTCTTTTTTTTCTTCTCCAAGCACTTAGGTCTTTGAGATACTCTCTAACACATTGCCTTGATGTTTAAAAAATGATCTTCTCACTTTGGACTACTAACATTTGAGAAAACTTTTGAAATATGGCAAATAAAAATGTTTCTCTGCCTCTGGATTTTTATATTTCTAAAATTCCCCCAAAGCTGCTGATCCCACTAGAAAGTCTGGAGAACTGGGTGGTGAGAAACTTCATGAAATTCAACAAGGGCAAATGCAAGGTCCTGCACATGGGGAGGAATAACCCCAGACACCAGTACAGGCTGGGGACCGACCTTCTGGAGAGCAGCTCTGCGGAGAAAGACCTGGGTGTCATGGTGGACGACAAGTTGACCATGAGGCAGCAGTGTGCCCTCGTGGCCAAGAAGGCCAATGGGATCCTGGGCTGCATTAAGAAGAGCATCTCCAGCAGGTCGAGGGAGGTGATCCTGCCCCTCTACTCAGCCCTGGTGAGGCCGCATCTGGAGTACTGTGTCCAGTTCTGGGCTCCACAGTACAAGAGGGATGTGGAGCTGCTGGAGAGAGTCCAGCGCAGGCCCTGGACAGGGCCTGGAACATCTGCCCTATGAGGAAAGATTGAGGGAGCTGGGCTTGTTCAGCCTGAAGAAGAGAAGGCGGAGAGGGTGTCTATAAATACCTCAGTGTCTATAAGTACCTCAAGGGAGGCAGTGAGGGGATGGTGCTGGCCTCTTTTCAGTGATGTCCAGCAACGGGACAAGAGGAAATGGCCACAAACTGAAGCATCAAAAGTTCCACAGGAACTTAAGGAAAAATTTCTTAACAGTGAGGGTGACAGAGCCCCGGAACAGGCTGCCCAGAGAGTTGTGGAGTCTCCTTCTCTGGAGATCTTCAAAACTTGCTTGGACGCAGTCCTGTGCCACGTGCTCTAGGTGACCCTGCGTGTGCAGGGGGGTTGGACTAGATGTCCTCTAGAGGTCCCTTCCAACCTTAACAATTTTATGATTCTATGATTCTATGAAGTCTGCATGCGGCAAAACCTATATAACATACAGAGTTTGCTTTTCTTAGCTCTTCCCCTGTTTAGCCATAACAAGAAAACCAAAATGTTTTCCTGAACTGTCAGTAATAAACAACAGCTTGAACTAGAAAAAGCGGAATTTGTAATTTTTCCTGAGCTTACACTTCATAAACCATATGCATCCACGCACACTCCATTGTAAATATTATTGTGCTTTAACATAAATTCATGTATAAACGGATAAATTCTACTGCTGTGAAAGAAAAAAAGAAGCATTGCACATAGAAACAACAGGCAATATCAAAACAGTTCTTCTAACTTATGCAAGATGTCTACTGAAAAAAAAAAAAAACCTGCTCAAGTTCCATGGACATGTTATTGCACAGTACACATTCGCAATACAGTGTTTCCCTCCTCCTTTACCTCGCGTCACATTCATAAAGCCCGGAATCTTCCAGTCTTGCAGGAATAAACCAAAGCAAGCCGCCTCGCTGGTGGATTCTGGCATGTTTCTCTGTGGTCACTGGCCGAATGCTGCCATTTTTGTACCACGTCAGATTGTAATCAGACTGAAGCGCTGGAAATGTAATTATCGGACATCTAACAGCTACAGGCTCTCCAACAAGCACAAAGTAATCACAAATAATGCATTCTCCTGTTAAAAGAAAAGACAGTTTTTACCCTTCACTTTCCTGTCAACTAATTTAAAAATTCATAAATAGCTCCATAGGGATGATAAAATAATTCAGATCTGTTAATGTTAGATTACTTATAGCAAGAGTAGCAAGACATCTACCATTATTTAATCTTAAAGTTTACTGAAAAATGAAATCTGCCATTAAAAATAATACTAATTAATTGCAGAAATAAAATGGGCCCTATATATCTATTCTCAGGACTAGACACAAAGCATGGCTCACGCAAGAGGCATGCAACAACTAACTTTGAGCACTGTAATCTCCATTTTTTTCTACAAGAAATATACAGAGGACTTTAAAAGCATCAATATCTTCAAATGAATGTGGTTACGTCAAGTACAGCTTCAGTCTAAAAGGAAGTATTTGGCATATCATCACCATGATGAAGCAAAAATAAACAAACCCCAAACCCACTATTTGATACTGGTAACTCTCTTCTACCAGCTATACACAACTTGTCTCTTAGCGAGTTTTCTTTTTTCAGAATGGCAATTTTAACAACCTTTGTAACTTACCTGCACTGAACGGAGACATCACTAGAATTAAATAGACAATGAGTACGAATGCAGATATCATCTTTTGCTGCAAGGAAGAAATATTTTCCATTAATATAGCAAAAATGTTTAAACCACACTGTCTTCAGTACCCTGCACCATTCTTCAAAAATTCAGAAGCAACAGTCACCCTACGGAGGGAAAAAAAGGGGTCTGGACATTTAGCCCCTGCCTTGAAAGATATCAGCTACAGCACTCATTGGCCACCACAGAAGGCTAATCAGGTTTCAGCTTTCTACTAGAGCATTTCCGACTTTCTACTGGAGGAACTCTTGCTTGGTATGTAATTTCTTTTGTCAGCCCAGCTAAGTGCACACACATGCACACAGACACACAAAGCTTTAGCTTTAAACCATAAAGTGGTTTAAATTATAATGTCTGATCGATGTATCAAGCTTGAATATGTTCCTCTAGGCATTTCTACAGCAGACACAATTGCAGGAGTTAAAGAGCTCTCTGAACCGTGTTGGTACAATTGACCTCCCAGCAGATGAACTCAAGAGTTCTCTGCTGAAGGACAAACATAGTGTAACCCTAAGGTGAAAGACAGGCACCCCTGCATTCCCTTCAAAAGAGGCAATTCTACTTGTCAGCCTTTAGAGAAGCCATAGGTGTAGTGAACCTGCTGTGGTCACACACACAAATGAGCAACAAAACTTTCAACAACTGTTAATTCCCTTCACAGCTCAAGCTTTGTTTGCAGGCTTCTCCAGCCTAGACACGACTAAACAGAAACTCAGTGCCCTTGAGGCCAGGTACATGCTTCCATAAAGCCTCTGAATCTTAACCACGTCCTGCACGCTTACGTGGCCCTGCTTTTGCAGATATCATCAGAGCCCTTCCCCAAGCCACTGCTGTCAGCCAGCTGACCTAAACTCATTCCCTTCCAACAGCTCCTAGAAAGACTGCACTTAGCTCTCCTGCTTTCCTCCATTCAGGGCTATTCTGCCTCCTGAGCCCTCTCGCACAAAAGCAGAGTTCTAGTCAATTGCACAGTGCACACTGCATAGGTTTTAGGCCATGTTTGTCATCTACTCAGCTAGAAATGGGTTGGAAGAGGAAGGTGTATTCCCCGAAGAACAGACGTGGCCCTGCACCTACCCAGAACTCACTTTATCTAAGACAAATAAGCATATCAGCTCTTTGTCTCAAAACATTCACATAAAGAAGAGCTGGGGAGTAGGAAGGGACACACAACACAGAGTTCAATAGCAGCATGTAACAGCCACTAAGCATTAACTTCCTTTGGACAGTTTATCTGGCATAGCACTCATACCATAGTCCTTATTTAGTTGCCTGCGATGTCCTTTTCCTGAAACTTGGCAATGAGATGATCACCATTCTTGAAGTTTTAGTTTACCTGTAAAGAGCAGAGAAGAGTGGGAGGGGAAGCATTTAACAAAATGCATCATTTAGACAACAACATAAACATACAAGAACAGATTTTCTACAGGCATCCTAAATACAAAAGCAGACCCATTCCTCCATTTATACTGTAGAAATTTACTGTAGGAAAAAAAAAAAAAAAAAACCACCACCACCACCAAAAAAACTTCTTGCAGTAAAGATTTATACAACATTCCAGAAAAAAAAAACTTTTTGGTAAATGATGCTTCTGTCAAGAAAGAAGATATTCTGTAAGTGCCAAAGCAAGCAACCAAAACAGATGTAAGTAACCACTTAGTACAACGAATTTAACAACTGAGAAGAAACAAAGAGTACTCAAGCTTAGGGTGAACAATTCAACAGGTTAAACTTTACATTTTTGCACTTTTTCCTTATCTCTAACACCAAGAGTGAATATCTTTCTAAATTGTATGCTAAAACTCACCAACTTAAAGCTCTATTCTTTACAAAGCAAACATTAAAAAAATTAAGACCCCGAAAAAAGGAAAAAAAAAATCTTCTGCACTTGCAATACCTGATAGTACACAGAGCATTTCTGTTCAAGTCAGTATGGTCTTAGACGACCCCACAAGGTTTCTGCAAACATTCAGGATTTCGAGCGAAGCATTATACAAAATTCACAAATGTGAAACAGGAAAGTTTGCTTAAAAAGCACAGGTTTGTTCACACACCTAACAGCTTTAGCTCTCAGTCACAGCAACATGAGATGTTGTCACTGATGTCTCGTGACACAACAGAAGCTCAGTAATCTCACTTGCATAGAGCCAATGGCAACTTCACTGACTGTCATATATACTTAGTCTGGAAACCTGTTTTGCCTCAAAGCTTGCTGGACTCAGAGCAAGAATTTATGTGAAGACTTTCAACAAATAAGCTAACAAATTCAACCAATCTGACCAATCCTCCTTGCGGTCTCAGCTACTAAAAAAAGTTTCTCCTGATTTCGTAAGTTACTCTCCTAATATTTATCTTCTCATAGTTGAAACAGAACTTATTACTCCAGGTCACTAAAATGAACATCATGTAAAGAGCAATAGAAAATATGTGGACCTAATTTAAGGTATTTACTTTTGTTCTTTACAGGTTGTCTCTCTTCATAGAACTTGCCCTTTACTTGCCATCAGTACAGTGCCAACTTTAAATGAAATAAGAACAGGTTTTAAGGACATTTTGAGTCCTTAACTCTGTATGCACCAGAATTAGCAAGCATGTCCTTCAGGAAGCTGTGCAGAAGCCATAACTGCATCTTTGTTTCCCAGATTTTCTGTTACCAAAAGATTTCCCCTGTAAATCACTTTTAAATACACAGAAGTGACTGTGTCTTTTAGCCATAAAGAGAAACAGAGGAAACATGACTCAAAGGTAACTACTTACCATCTTTGCAAAAAGCAGACCAGTTGAGAGGTTTAAAGTGCCCTAATTTAGTGGCACACCTATACATATGAGTTGCATTAACTTTTTTAAATTAAATAAAACTTTTGTTTGTCCATACTTTTTATTTCCCACAGTTTTAGTGTTTCAGTTAAACTTTATTATAAAGTATGGACATTTGCCCCAAGGCACAAGAACCAACCACTCAAAGAGAAGATTCAACCCACCAAAAACCCATTCATACAGCTTGTTACCTTCACACCTGTTCCTTGTTGTACCTCCTCTTGTTATCTAGCCTCCTTGAGCTACGCAAAGCAAGATAAATCACTCTAGCAGACCATAGCTTATTTTCCGCCTACCTCTTTCTTGCAATCCTAACTTTCCTGCCAAACATAGTCAACACAAAAGCAAATGCGTAGCTGATCGCTTTACAAGGGTGTGCATGTCCCACAAAAAGATGCACAAGTACCCTCTAAAGGTGGGTCTGGATGACAACTGTTGTATTTGGACACTGAAATTATAGCTACAAACTACAGTCTTAAACTCAGATGCCCCTAAAGAAAATCTGTTATATAAGGTTAAATAAAATGAAGTTGCACAAATAAGAGACTGTCCACAAAGAGATCTGCAATTGTTGGATCCTTTTGAACTAAACTTTGAGACACACAAAGTATAAGTCACTGTAAATCTAGAATCTGAACAAAGTACATTCATTCAAACAAAATACATATTGCCTCACCTCTCTGCAAAGCACAGAAGAAAAAAACCTATCTGTGCAGCTGTGAATCTCACCCCCACTCTACTATACTGCCACAAAAAGCCACCTATCCTACCCATCGAAGAAAAAAACGTATCTGTGCAGCTGTGAATCTGGCCCCCACTCTACTATACACAAAGGTGTACACAAAGGTGGCCACAAAAAGCCACCTATCCTACCCATTTCTACCTCCTGTCAAACAGCAGGCAAGTAGAGCATCCAGATTACCTTAGAAAGAGTGATCTTATTGAAAACCATTGAAAATAGTACCTCATTTCAGCCTCAAGTGATAGGAGGAGTTCATTTTGCAGTCAGTTTTGCAGGCACTGTTTTCTATGTCATTTCAGCTCCTGTTACCTGTTAATATAAAGCAATGTGTACTTAACAGGAATATTTAAGTCCAAAGTTAATTATTACTTCCTAACAATTTTCAAGTGTAATTAAAAGCCAGGTTAAACAGAGTTCCAGAAGTGCTCAGGCAAATAAATGCATGTATTTCAACAATATAATGATTTTATATGAAATATTAAAATTCATGCATCATTCTCTGGAAAAAAAGAGCAATGATGTCTACCCCCCCAAAAAAAAAAATAGAGAGCAATAGGTAATTCTAACTTAAGGACTGATTCAAGGATTCAGTGTTACAAGAAAACGTTTTTCCCGTTTCAGCTCTCATGGCAATTCCTCGGCATTCCCCACGTTCGG